AAGACTAACGAAGTTGAATTTAATATTTTGTTAAAAACTGGATCATTTGAAGGAATAATCAAAACTAAATAGTATCAAACAATTTCTAGATAGATGTCCAGAATCCTGTACTGTTACATTTTATTTGCGATTTACATTATTAGTATGGGATTGTGGGGATTGTTAAGTTTTTTTTGGGATCATGAATCGATGAATGTTAGACCACCAAGGAAAGCCTGAGAGTATCGGGTCTCCTCAGCTGTGTGCATCCATGGTCTCGCACGCAGGACTTAACCCAAGACCTCGGGTCTCGCGCGCAAACACCTAACCTCTAGACCACTGAGCCAGCATCCAACGGTGTCTAACTTCGTCCAATCCACAAAGCTGAGAGGCCATCTCTCATTGTCTGAGACTGCACTGCTGAGGAGTCCCATACTCGGATGAAACGACCTGTCAGTGCCTCCGCGTTTCTAAATGGTGGTCTAAAGTCTAGCCATCTAAATTGTTGAGATAATCGATATTCGTTATTTTCATTCTTGGTTTACTACTTATAACGTGATAAGTAACTGAATATTAAATATACAAAATAGTAGGTTTCGTCAATTAAAGTATATGGACATAGACTGAGCTAGTTAGTCAAAGGTTTCTGTAGCTATATCAATACAGATTTATAGTTAAAGTCCCTGAATGAATTATCAATCCGACCACTTCAGTTATTGGTCATCAGTTATCATTCATACTAATTTCGCATCATGACAGCCTGACTGTAGCTACTATCTCGACATAGGAGTCCAACGTTATTATTCCGACGACGCACTTGAGCTATACTGCCTGAAGTACATGTTACTTTTAAGTCCGTCATGTCAAGTATGTTAACTGAAGTGCTTTAAGTCTCAATGTAAAGACATAAGGTCTAAGGGTGAAGTTGTACCTCTGACTGTAACGGGATGTGACATCAGTAAGATGCTACGTCAAACGATCAGTATCTTCAGCAACCCTTTCTTCTCCCAATAAAAGCACACCTCACCTTGATTCACAGAGTTCTGTCTCCTGCGGTCAAAAAGGCTTTGGCTGACCGGCCTAAAACAGTTATCTCTTAGGATCTGTGGTCACTTCATCTAGTCTACAAATCTTAGGAGTATCCTTCTACGCTGAGAGTATCCAGGAAGTACCAACTATTCAAACATCTCTATCAACACTCGAAATCTTCACCAATAACAGAAGTTGTTACAAATTATAGTCAAAGTGAGTCAAACGGACGGTTCCAAATATTTTCTGTGGTTGGCGTTTGTTTAGCAAGTTAGTTTTCTACGGGATGTGGTCGTTAACCCCATGCCCAACCCTTCTCCTTTACTCGGGATTAGGACCAGCAGTAGACACAGAGGGGCTCAAGCCGGAGCCTGGGAAGATAGCCAATACCATAAGGAATTGCCATGATGGACTAAACTGCAAAATCGTGCATGGAGGACAGTTGACAAACTCGTTCGAAGTAAAGACCAGTGTCAAGCAAGGTTGCTTACTCTCACCCTTTCTCTTTCTCTTGGTGACCGACTGGATCATGAAGACGTCAACGTCTGAGGGGAAGAATGGGACACAGTGGACAGCTAGAATTCTGCTGGACAGTCTAGACATCGCGGATGATCTAGCTCTCCTATCGCACACGCAATAACAAATGCACAAGACGACCAGTGTAGCAGCAGCAGTTAGTCTTAACATACACAAAGGGAAAGGCAATATTCTCCTATTCAACACAGCATGCAACAATCGAATCACACTTGACGGAGAAGATTTGGAAGATGTAAAAACCTTTACATATCTGAGCAGCATCATTAATGAACACCGTGGATCTGATGCAGATGTGAAGGCGCGGATCAGTAATGCAAGATGAATACATCTACAATCGGAGAACATATGATGCTCTAAACAACTGTCAACCAACACCAAGGTCAGAATTTTCTATACAAATGTTAAGACAGTTCTACTATATGGAGCAGAAACCTGGATGAACTACGAAAGAGATCATCCAGAAGATACAAGTGTTTATTAACAGTTGTCTACGCAAAATACTTCGGATTTTTTGGCCAGAGACTATCAGCGACAACCTGTTGTGTGAGAGAACAAACCAGATTCTAGTGGAGGAAGGAATCAGGAAGAAGCACTGAAACTGGATAAAACACACATCAAGGAAAGTACCCAACTATGTCACAAGACAAGCTTTCACTTGGAATCCTCAAATCCAAAGGAGAACAGGAAGACCAAAGAGCACATTATGCCCAGAAATGGAGACAAATATGAGGAGAATGAACAGCAATTGTGTAGAACTAGGAAGGAAGTCCCTGGATAGATTGGGTTGGAGAATGCTAGTCGGTGGCCTATGCTCCATTATGAGCAAAAGGCGTAAGTACTTATGTAAGTAAGTCAGATTACGCATGTTTTAACTCAAATAAACATTTATGAATAATGATAACTTTATGTCAAAAATTGCCCAATGAGTTACAAAAAGGGTATTGTACGAACCATTTTTGACCGCGCTCAAAAAATCTGTTCAAAAGAATACCTTAATGATGAAATTAATCTGATTACTAATGTTCTACGCGATAATGAATACCCATTGAAATTTATCCAGAAATATGCCAAAAGCAATCCTCATACAAAATACGATGGAGTAGAAAGAAAAACCTGTTTTTTACACTTACGTTTCAAAGGTGATGAAATCGCTGGAATAATCAATCAAAGAATAAACTCTGCGTTGAAAGTCACCTACCCAGCAGCAAAACTTATGACAGTATGGCAAACGAACTGCTCACTTCAAGAAACCAAAATCGACAAGCCCTCTTTTCTTAGTAGCTCCAACTGCATCTACCAGTTTACATGTACGTGCCAAAGCACATACATTGGAAGAACTGAGAGAAGAGTGCATGTCCGCATTTCTGAGCACGTTGCAAAAAAAAACTTGAGGCTGCCTGGGACCAGGGCTTTCAACAGTGCAATAGCTCGACATCTACTTGACACCGGGCACACCATCGACATTCCTCATGCTTTCAAAGTTATCAATAGACAAAGAAGTACGACCACCCTCCGTTTTGCTGAAGCTATTATGATCAAAAAACTTAAACCTGACTTATGCATTCAAAAAGAGAAGTTAATTAGCTTATCACTACCCTGGTAACCCTTTATTATTATTATATTATTATTATTATTATTTTATTTTTATTTATTTTAAAATATTTATATTCCTCCCCTATTACATAATTCTTAAACCACATTATTATTTACGCATTTCCACCACCTGATCCTCCTAAATTATCTTAACTTTTCATATTCTATTTAATTATTATTACGTAACCTATCTTATGATTATTCAATTGCATTATTACACCACCCAACCCGAATTAATTCCTTTTGACCTCTGACCTGTTCTAGCATATATATACTTATTTATTTACTTACGCCAGTTACTCCCGATGGAGCATAGGCCGCCGACCAGCATTCTCCAACCCACTCTGTCCTGGGTCTTCTTTTCTAGTTCCATCCAATTCTTGTTCATTTTTCTCATGTCTACCTCCATTTCTCCACCTAATGTGTTCTTTGGTCTTCCTCTTCACCCCAATGGCCTTGAGGATTCTATGTGAGGGCTTGTCTTGTGACGCAGTTGGATGCTTTCCTCAATGTGTGTCCTATCCACTTCCAGCGCTTCTTCCTGATTTCTTCCTCGACTGGGATCTGGTTTGTTCTCTCCCACAGTACGTTGTTGCTAATAGTGTCCGGCCAATGGATCTGAAGTATTTTGTGTAGACAATTGTTAATAAACACCTGTATTTTCTGGATGATGGCTTTCGTAGTTCTCCAGGTTTCTGCCCCATACAGTAGAACTCGCTAAAAAACGCTAACCAGAAAAAAAACTATTCTAGCATATATATATATATATATATATATATATATATATATATATATATATATATATATATATATATATATATATATATATATATATATATAGTTATTATTGTAACCCAGATATTTACACTCATCTATGTCATTTGTTTTCACTCTATCTCAATGTAAAGATTCTATCAAATTTTTGGTTTGTAAGCAGCTGACGAGAAACCTCGAAATAATATGAATTCATACTATTCTGCACCAGTATTTGTTCTTGCTTTATTTAAATTCATAAAGGGAACCAATTGCATCAAAAATTTATGGTTAGAATTTAGAAAAATATAAATAAGCGAACAATATTGTTTTCGATTAGATCTTCATGAAGTTTTAATCTAATCTACAGTAATATTTATATGCGTATACGAAATTATTAGACCAATCAAGGTAGTTTATAAGTCAATGATAATATTGGAAAAGATTACATAATTGTTAGGATAGTCGGAAAAATATACCAATAATTATCGTGTTAAGTCTATGGTGGCCTTGGACCCTAAATGTACACTTCCTATTGGTCGATATCTGTTCAATTGTTGAATATTGTACAAGATGTTGTTTTCTATTTTATGGTACGATGTGGTATGCTTGATTGGTATATAAATAGAGTATGTCTGAAATACAATGATTCATAACTCAGAGGCCGTGACTTGCGTTCTTGACTCAACTGGCTGGGATAGACAGGGAAGCAGGGCCAATCAGGGCACTAGGTCGTCCACTACGTGTTTACGTGTCCACTGCAATCGATCGGTAAAACAGTGCTCATCATAACCTGCAGTCACCCGTTACAACAGTAATCAATATCCAATTCACTTTGTTTTGTATAATCCATTAATTTTAAATTAAATAAATAAATAAATAAAATACTGATTGGACATCCCTATGATCCAATTCTTTTAACCCTGTGAATTACATTAAAAAGAAGAGGAAGAAGAAGAAGAATCGTATAGAATGATCTATTCATAGTTGATTAAATGATCTTGTACAGAACTAATATAAATAACTGTGGTTTTATATTCTCTTTCTGTTTTTTTTTATAAATTATGATTTAGATTGTTTTCTATTCATTCTATTATATTTAATTGTAGGTCAATTTTCTAATCATGAAACACGTAATTATATCATTTTAGTAAGTTAAAAGAAAACTGATTTATATGTACTTTATTGAGAAAACTTTAATTGTTATGGATAATAAATTTTGTTGTGTATTTATTCCTCATTTGTATTAGTTAAATTTAAATGTATGTACAAGGGCGGCCTGCTTGATCATCTGGGCTACCTGTTCCTGCCATCTAGATATTTCAACAAGTTATCTATTTTTGTTTGTTTTAATATATCATTATGTTTATTAATCGCATAACCTATTCTGCTGCGTTTCTGAAAAGTGTACAACCTTTCGTTGTCAAAGTTACAGAAAACTCAATAAGAGACAATATGGTTGCTGGCAATGTACAACGAAAAGAATGTACATTATTCAGTTGTTCATTCACTGAAGTGCTAACATCTAACTGGCGATTCCTCAATATTTATCGCCAGGACCGACCAAGAAGAAAGAAACGGAAACTTGTTGAAATACTTTGCGCTGAGAATTCTATATTGTACCAAAATTATAATATTGAATAAAGCTAATAATAATAATAATAATAATAATAATAATAATAATAATAATAATAATAATAAAAGTTTACAATGCGTAGTAATGAAATCCAGGATTCGAGTTTCGTTCTATTTAGGACTTGTTACTTACTTACTTACTTACTTACTTACTTACTTACTTACTTACTTACTTACTTACTTACTTACTTACTTACTTACTTACTTACTTACTTACTTACTTACTTACTTACTTACTTACTTACTTACTTACTTACTTACTTACTTACTTACTTACTTACTTACTTACTTACTTACTTACTTACTTACTTACTTACTTACTTACTTACTTACTTACTTACTTACTTACTTACTTACTTACTTACTTACTTACTTACTTACTTACTTACTTACTTACTTACTTACTTACTTACTTACTTACTTACTTACTTACTACTTACTACTTACTACTTACTTACTTACTTACTTACTTACTTACTTACTTCTTACTTACTTACTTACTTACTTACTTACTTACTTACTTACTTACTTACTTACTTACTTACTTACTTACTTACTTACTTACTTACTTACTTACTTACTTACTTACTTACTTACTTACTTACTTACTTACTTACTTACTTACTTACTTACTTACTTACTTACTTACTTACTTACTTACTTACTTACTTACTTACTTACTTACTTACTTACTTACTTACTTACTTACTTACTTACTTACTTACTTACTTACTTACTTACTTACTTACTTACTTACTTACTTACTTACTTACTTACTTACTTACTTACTTACTTACTTACTTACTTACTTACTTACTTACTTACTTACTTACTTACTTACTTACTTACTTACTTACTTACTTACTTACTTACTTACTTACTTACTTACTTACTTACTTACTTACTTACTTACTTACTTACTTACTTACTTACTTACTTACTTACTTACTTACTTACTTACTTACTTACTTACTTACTTACTTACTTACTTACTTACTTACTTACTTACTTACTTACTTACTTACTTACTTACTTACTTACTTACTTACTTACTTACTTACTTACTTACTTACTTACTTACTTACTTACTTACTTACTTACTTACTTACTTACTTACTTACTTACCTTACTTACTTACTTACTTACTTACTTACTTACTTACTTACTTACTTACTTACTTACTTACTTACTTACTTACTTACTTACTTACTTACTTACTTACTTACTTACTTACTTACTTACTTACTTACTTACTTACTTACTTACTTACTTACTTACTTACTTACTTACTTACTTACTTACTTACTTACTTACTTACTTACTTACTTACTTACTTACTTACTTACTTACTTACTTACTTACTTACTTACTTACTTACTTACTTACTTACTTACTTACTTACTTACTTACTTACTTACTTACTTACTTACTTACTTACTTACTTACTTACTTACTTACTTACTACTTACTTACTTACTTACTTACTTACTTACTTACTTACTTACTTACTTACTTACTTACTTACTTACTTACTTACTTACTTACTTACTTACTTACTTACTTACTTACTTACTTACTTACTTACTTACTTACTTACTTACTTACTTACTTACTTACTTACTTACTTACTTACTTACTTACTTACTTACTTACTTACTTACTTACTTACTTACTTACTTACTTACTTACTTACTTACTTACTTACTTACTTACTTACTTACTTACTTACTTACTTACTTACTTACTTACTTACTTACTTACTTACTTACTTACTTACTTACTTACTTACTTACTTACTTACTTACTTACTTACTTACTTACTTACTTACTTACTTACTTACTTACTTACTTACTTACTTACTTACTTACTTACTTACTTACTTACTTACTTACTTACTTACTTACTTACTTACTTACTTACTTACTTACTTACTTACTTACTTACTTACTTACTTACTTACTTACTTACTTACTTACTTACTTACTTACTTACTTACTTACTTACTTACTTACTTACTTACTTACTTACTTACTTACTTACTTACTTACTTACTTACTTACTTACTTACTTACTTACTTACTTACTTACTTACTTACTTACTTACTTACTTACTTACTTACTTACTTACTTACTTACTTACTTACTTACTTACTTACTTACTTACTTACTTACTTACTTACTTACTTACTTACTTACTTACTTACTTACTTACTTACTTACTTACTTACTTACTTACTTACTTACTTACTTACTTACTTACTTACTTACTTACTTACTTACTTACTTACTTACTTACTTACTTACTTACTTACTTACTTACTTACTTACTTACTTACTTACTTACTTACTTACTTACTTACTTACTTACTTACTTACTTACTTACTTACTTACTTACTTACTTACTTACTTACTTACTTACTTACTTACTTACTTACTTACTTACTTACTTACTTACTTACTTACTTACTTATGCCTGTTACTCCCAATGGAGCATATACCGCAGACCAGAATTCTCCAACCCACTCTGTCCTGGGCCTTCCATCCAATTCTTATTCATTCTTCTCATGTCTATCTCCATTCCTCGGCGTAACGTGTTCTTTGGCCTTGCTCTTTTCCTTTGGCCTTGAGGATTCCATGTGAAGGCTTGTCTTGTGACGCAGTTGGGTGCTTTCCTCAATGTGTGTCCTATCCACTTCCAGCGCTTTTTCCTGATTCCTTCCTCCGCTGGGATCTGGTTTGTCCTCTCCCATAGTAGGTTGTTGCTAATAGTGTCCGACCAACGGATCCGAAGTATTTTGCGTAGACAACTGTTAATAAACACCTGTATTTTCTGGATGATGGCTTTCGTAGTTCTCCAGGTTTCCGCTCCATACAGTAGAACTGTCTTGACATTTGTATTGAAAATCCTGACCTTGGTGTTGGTTGACAAACAGTTGCTTTGAGTTCCAGATGTTCTTCAGTTGTAAATATGCTGCTCTTGCTTTGCCGATCCGCGCTTTCACATCTGTAACGCTAACCAGATTGTTTGTAACTTGATACAAAGCAGAGAAATCTTTGTGTTTATATCTTTCTTAATCTACATTTATATCTTTCCCAATTCACATCGTTAATAAACACCTGTACCGCCTGGAGTCCCTCCGGGGGCTACTGCGGGTCCCAAGCCCGGATAAAGGAGGAGAGCTGGTCATGGGGTTAGCGACCCCATCCCGTAGAAAACTAACTCGCTAAAAAACGCTAACCAGAAAAAAATTAGGACTTTTTAGTTAGATACATGTGAATGTCGGATTGAATATCCAACTATTGAAAGTAGGTGTATCCGGCTGATGAATAAAAAATGTGGGAAGATTCGACTGTTAGCCACTACTCATCTCTGATTAAAATTTTTTTCGGCTTACTATCAATATCAAAGATGTTTGTTACTGAGGTGTTCTAAAAATTTGGATAAATAATATGTTCAGAGCTTTTTTGTTTTCGACGCTTCGGTCAAACTATCATTTATGGATGATCTTTGAACGATGTTAAAAACACCTTGAGGAGATTCACCAATCTACTAGGATCAAAAGAGACTACAAATTAGCTCGAGAAATCAGGATTAGGACTTAGATATATATGTTAAAAATAAAAATTGAATTTTAAGGGTTTTCATTACGAACTGATATCAACTATAATGCCGAGATGATATTTAGCCGTTTGAATGGATGAATTTCACGTCGAACTCCAAGACTTTCTATTTTAAATCTTATTGGTTCGCCTATAAATTATAGTCCTGCCAATGCGGACTCTTTAACTCAATGTAAAATTTAATTGTTCTAATTACTTTATTAGTGAAATTTTTTCATTAAGTTAATTTATGACTTTATACAATTCTGTTTTTTCTTCAGGCGTTCATTATAATAGGTTTATTGATATGGCTTATTAGTGTTCTTATCATTGGTTTCGTGTGTTATCGCCGTCGACACAACCGTAAAGTATCTGTTCGTAAAAGGTCAGTAATATTTTTAGAGACTGATTTATTCAGTCAGAGAGATGGAACCATCTGCTTGCTACCATTTTATAAAGGTTTTATACAAACGCTTCATTTCTAAACTTCTGTGGTTAGTCCTAATACTTTACATAATTAACCATAATATATTTTGTGTGATAAACTGACTTATATCTATTTTAATATTTGAGATCAATGGAAGGTCAATGGAAGCTAGACCACTATAGAAAACCTAGAAGCAACTGAGAAGCAGTGACTAGTGGAGTTCAACCAGGTCTGTTGTGAGATATCAGCTCACTGAAGACAATAGTGTACGGTGGCTCAATTTCGTGGATTGGTTGAAGTTAGACATTAACACCGTCAGAAGCCGACTCAGTGGTCGGATGGTTAAGCGCTGATAGGTCCTGGGTTTGAACCTCGCGCGGCGGGATCTTGGGTGCGCACTGCTGAGGAGTCCCATATTGGAACGAAACGGCTGTCCAGTGTTTTCAGGTTTTCCATAGTTGTCTAGTTTCAATTGACTCATGATCTCAACTATTAAAATTACTATAATTTCCACAAAACCTCTTCTGATATTATATCTGTTTATCATGCTTTTGACTATCGCCAAGCTTTTATCTTCAGTCTGTTCTGCAGTCCAAATATTCTGACATCAAACGAGTTATGGAATATCACGGAAAACAACATTTCTAATAATCAGTATTCAGTTCGAAGTCTTTAAACTCTTATTTTCCAATGTAAATGCCTTGATAACAGGCTAGATAACCTCATCACTTTAAAAGTATCAAATATTTTTAAGCATCCAAGATTATTGGCTGATCCTGGACTCAAGTGTAGTTGCAAAATAACGCAAGATAAGAATAGGATCTGGAATTTTCTCCAACCAACAGAAACTTGACTGAGCAATCACGTATCAACAGATAGATGACAACAACAACAACAACACAGACAACCTTTTTATAGGACACTGTAATAAACATTTTATCTACTAGTACTTGATAACTGAGCATAAATTCATGTTCTGTTTTAACTTTCATTTAAAGCCATTGAATAATATTTTACAAAACAGCCAGGAATAACCAACCTCTATTTCAGCCATTACAGATCAATGCAATAATAGTTTGTCCTTTTGATCTAGTACACATCACTAATAGATAGCCAGGAAAATTTTAAAAAAACCCACTAACCAAAGTTAATTTACCATTATACTATCTTCCAATTATAACTATTTATCGTCAAAATCAAACAGAATATTAATCATACTAAGATATAATTTTCTCAGGACTTCATGATTACAAAGATAAACCCACTCAAATGGTGTATTTTGACCAGTGAGGAGTGTCTTTTAAGACATTATAAGTGCTGGTTCGTTGAGAAAATGTTCATTTATTTTGAAAACAGAAATGGATTGTTTAGCTAAAAAAAATTTCAACACCGTTCTCTTCAAGACTATTTTATCATTACTATTTAGGCTACTTGTGAGTAGTATGTAAGATTTTCACAACTTCATGACAAAACCCATCAACTTTGTTTCAATTGAAGGAACAGAGTTGTTAGTTCTCATGACTGAGACAAGAAAAATAAAGTTATTGATAACTCTTGCTAATTGAACGCTATATTCGGTTCCTAATCTGTTCTCGTAACCCTCAAGCTAGAAATACACACAGACCTGAACACAAGGGAAAAGGCACAAAATAAGCGAGAAGCACTGTACTCTAAAGTTTCGTTTCAGTACAGAAAATATAGGGTTTTTATGGTATTTTAGATGTCTTTGGGTTTCCCGAGAATTCTGGAATGCTACTAAACATAGTAGCAGTATAGTAATCAGCCAATCAGAAACTCTACATGTGACTTTTCACTTTTTGATGTTTCTGGCTAAACGTCTAGTGAATGTCGATTGGATAAAATGCTTCTTAGTGTTTCCTGAGCCTTTCTTGGATTTTGCGAAAAGTTTTCTGGATCACTGCAACAGTTATTAACCAAAAAAACTTTTCATCGGTGATGGAACGGAATGAATAATATATTTTATGTCATTAAGGTTTTTCATTTGATAAAAAAATCAAGTATCTTTTAATTACCGCTTGTGTCTTAGACAAAATGTCTGTTTACGAAACGATGAATATATCACTCACCAGTTAATTCTGTATGGCTATGTAACCGTGAAACATGATCTATGGAAGTGGAAAACGTATGTGGACTGTAGGTTTATGATCTTAACTGTCTCCAAAGCATTCCTTGTATATAATAGATCAACTATCTAATCCTTAGGTTAAATATAATGCAATACGCTAAGAGGGGTAGATTTGTAGTGAACAAATAAGTCAATTGGGGATAACCAATTTATTATTTAATGAACAATCACACAGTGGTTTAATAAAATGTGAAAATAATACATCTCATGCATCATTCGCATATCTTCTTTGAATTTTCTCTTACAAACTTCATTGTTTCTTCATTCATGTTGTTATCCTGATTGCTTTCAGTTTCCCTTTCTCTTCTCTTCATTCTCATTTTCTAAACCTTATGTTCGCAGACATTCCACTTCCAACCGATGTTAAATACGACTTTTATCTGCAAAAATAAGTAGTATACACCACAGATTCATTTAGGTGGTTGGGATATATTATGCTACGGTTGCTTGACGTTTAATATTGGTTGGAGGTGGATAGGTCAAGGTATGATAGTATTCTATGAAGTCATTGACTCTTGGTGTGAGTCATGCCCCTATGTGTAGACTACCTGGTAATACTTGTAATCAAGAGTTGTGTTGTTAATTGTGTACTGTATTTTACATATCAAGATTTACATTATAGCTCATATTAATTTTTCTCCGTTACACCTTGTCTTTTTGATTTGCTTTTTGTTTAGTAACATAATGATAAACAACTTGGATTGATGTACAGTAGTCCCAGATCAGACCTTGGCTTGACTAGCTGAATTAAAAATCTACCTCAAGACTATATTTCTGTTCTGTATTTATTGCGTACAACACTAAGTATAGTTAACTTTTTGCGATCATATAATGTATTGACTTCAAAGATATATACTCATACTTTGAGGACTTTTGGAACTGTACAAAAAATTATAACAAAACGAAATCCGAATCTTTAGCTTAATGAGATGACAATGATGCTAAGTTTACATAGAGTGTACTATGATAACACAAGTGGATCAAAATGATCACTGTTTTAGACTAATACAACAAGTCATGATTAAACAGTTTATCTAATACCTTTCAGAGACAGATAAGATAAGGTTAGTGAACTGACCAACAGAAACAATGCAAAGGGTGTTTGATTTACATAGTGGATCACCCAAAATGACGTATACTTTTAGCTAATGAACTCCGGAAAACTAATGACTTTGTCATCAAATACCGAGCATTTATTCAAGTGGGGAGACAGAACATCTTAGTAAAATCTGAGAACCATGTAGTAAATACTTCATCTGCAAAATGTTAATAAGTTGCCTCGAACTTGACTGTTCCTTTTGCAAATGTCAGTCAATCGTCTCAGACTTCACTGTTTCTTCATTTCCATACCAAACATTCACTGTTCTCGTTCTCATTTCTTCGATCTTCTTAACCTACAACTGCTATGTATTCCACTTTCAATTGATTACACATACTACTTATATCTATGGACATCAGTAGTACACACCATAAATAGTTTGTTTTAGAGTATTATTCATTGCTAGAATTATTTCACTTTAACAGCCTATCTTTTCAAAAATTCAGATATAATATATTTTAAATGTTAATTTAGAAGAAGATAAATTTTTTTGTATCCACGTGTTGAAAACTTAGAAACCGATTGTTTAAAGTTTTAGCAAAATCACTGTTCAAAGAGAGAGACATACTCAACTTACTAACTTTTCAGTATGTGGATTCTTTATCATTATTTATTTCTACCCTGAACCTCATTGAATGCAGACTGCTTGTAATTATGTTGAATAGATTATTGTTTGGTGTATTATTCAAGTTCTCTGCATTTCGATGTGTATTGTATATATGGTAAAACATGATTTCAATCTATGCAGAGTGTATCGACCAAGTATCTAGTCTAATGGTAATATAATCTCTTACCCTGTCGTATTATGGTATGGTAGTAAAATATTATGACAAACGAGAACATTTTTAACCTAATTCTATCCCATTTATATATACATATCAGTCACCATTGTGTTTTAAGTTATTAATATAGATCTGATAATCTCTATGTAGTTTATAATTTTGTCTTTAAACTTATGTATTCAGTACCCACTTTCAGGACTTTCTACTGATTAGCCCTAAAAACTAAACATTCCTAAACTTACTTAATACCGACATACAATTTGAAGTAAACTAACACAATAAGCTTCCAAGTTTTCCGATGGTGATCTAACATCAATCGGTTCATGTTCTCAATCAATAATAACATAATATTTAAATAAACAAATTAATTACTTACTTACTTACGCCTGTAACTCCCAATGGAGCATAGGCCGCCGACCAGCATTCTCCAACCCAATCTATCCTAAACCTTCCTTTCTAGTTCTATACAATTTTCGTTCATCCTTCCCATATCTGTCTCCTTTTCTCGGCATGATGTGTTCTTTGGTCTTCCGCCTTTCCTTTGGCCTTGAGAATTCCAAGTAAAAGCTTGTGTTAGCGGGACATAGATTGGATTAAAGCATGCTCAATGCACGATTGTTTTGGTGCACGTTGGTTGGCTAATTCTTATCCAATCAGCGTTAGTCAATATTTAGTGAACACTCTAGAAATCTCATGTGGAAAACTATAAATATACTAACGTTTTCCCTATTGCACTTACTTGCTTCTTACTTCCATCTAACCTTGTTATTTGGAATATAATCTCTTACCTGTTCAACCGTGTTCTGATTTGGGGACCTATTGAGTGAATCGGTGTCCGAGAATACTAAGCAATAGGAATAGCTGAGTTATAACCGTTGTTGGATACTTTCCTCAATGTGTGTCCTATCCACCTTCAGCGTTTCTTCCTGATTTCTTCCTCCACTGGGATGAAATGGTAGAAATCGATAAGACATACATTGAGGAAAGTATCCAACCGTGTCGTCATAAGTCATGAATTAAATTCAAACAAATCACTCCTCTTTTTTTGTTTATTTACAGTGCTTTATGGACAAATATTAATTATGAACCAAATTTATATCAAACAAATTTACCATCACCAACAGAACCCTTTATAAAGCAACAATATGATCATGAAACTTTACAAAATAATATAAAATTAATTACAAATAATAATCAAATCAATTATTCTTCATTAAAAAAAATATCACCAAAAAGTGTTTTAAGAAATTCATCAACTTTACCAAAACTTCCAATCAATGAACATCATCAACGTAGATCAGTACATTATATACGTACATCAAATGAATTATCTAAATTACATTTTAGTACTATATCACATATACCAATATCTAGTCCATCATATTCAATAGATACACAACAAACAAATTTATCACCAACTGATAGTTGTCAACCAATATGTGATACAACATATGAAGAATTAACATGTTGTATAAATGATCATTTACATTGGAAACATAATAATTTATTAATAGCGCCTAAATTAACAACTTTTCAATGACAAGTATTTCATTCATTCAATGCTTATATATATATATTCAATTTATCATCATTCTTACCTTTATTCAAAATCTATGTCAGATATAAGAAATAAATAGAAGAAAAATGTATATGTATGTATTTATATTGTATAGTGACTTTGTTTCGTTAATTGATCACTCTCAATAACCGTTATAATATAAATCGCAATGATGATTAAAATCAGAAGGTAATGAGGAGTGGCAATTACAGTTTATTACAGGATAGTGCATATCACAAAGTTATAAGCACATCAAATGAATTTGAAACGGAGAGGCGAATGTGTGTATTTGTGTGTAATTACATAGGCAAATGTTTAATCAAATGGCATAAGGGCACAGTAAGGCATAACAAAAGCCAATAATAGGATTTTAGTATATATATGTATACATTAGGGAGGAGAATGAATCATCGAGTGATATTTAAGCAATCAACATTTTAGCTACAGTCTGTCATGTGACTTAGTGATCATGACGATACGAATAAATATACGAATTGTTACTATTCAAATAATATTGTGTGTTAAGTAAGTTGATATAGAGGGTTTGTCAGAAGGGGTTTCGTTGAGATTTTAGAAATTTCACAGATTGAAATTATGAGTCAATTGAAGCTAGACCACCATGGAAAACCTGGAAGCATTGGACAGCAGTTTCGTCCTAGTATGGGACTCCTCGGCAGTGCGCATCCACGATCCTGCACCCCACGAGATTCAAACCCAGGGCCTATCAATCTCTCGGGGTGCGGGATTGTGGATGTGCACTGCTGAGGAGTCCCATACTAAGACGAAACAACCGTCCAATGCTTCCAGGTTTCCCATGGTGGTTTAGCTTCGATTGACTCATTATTTCAATCTGTGAAATTACTGATCTATTTATTTTGGAGCATTATTTATAGCTTTCATAGTTCGATGAAATCAGATTGGACGGTTGAGTTATGCTGAAGATAAGTTACTATTGAGAAGAAAGCAACAGATTTATTCTATTTTTTCATAACCTTCAGTAATATAATGTTGTCTTCACTAGTTTGATATTACAAGTATATTAGGCAATTATTCAACCTTTGAAGGAGAAACATGTCTGAATATTCAATTTGGAATGTAATTCTTCTGTATAGTTGTCTATTTCTTCTCGAAAATTCAAAACCATCCTTTTTTCATTCTCAATGTGAATGTGTTCTTCTAGGCGAAAGTTTATAACTTTTTCCTCAAGTTTATACTTCTAAAGTCATGAAAAATTTCAACTAACTTCCATACTACCTATTTCAGTCAGGAATTTTGTGGATTAGACTAGTTGAACAAAGACAGGAACCCTCAATAAAATCTTATACTTAAAGTGTTTCATTCTAATTAAAACTTGTAAGTAGGTCTTTACCTAGTCAACAATTTAGTAAGGTCAAACAATGTGTAAATTTTTGTCAAATCGATCCTATATCTCATTATTTTTCCACATTATACTTCATTAAGACCGTAGCTCATTACAACAGGGTTAATCTAATTGCACCCTATCAACCTTAATTCTGACCGTTGACGTGAAATCGGCCCGTATCAATAGCGCAGTTACCATGGGATAAACTTACCCACTTGCTATTCAAAAGTGTCAAACTTCAACTACCCATTTGCTATGTTCATTAGTATATATATACACTGAGGTCACTGAGTGTATATCCTAGTCTCCCAAACATTATAAATACATTTAACTTTCTCCTAACGTCAAAACAACAGATGAAATTATCTGAACATGTACCTAAATGGTTACAAAAATAAATAAAATTAAATGATCCATTAAGAGTAGATAATAAACCTCCATCTTCCTCTACTGATAAACATATAGTTGGAACAGGTCATGAAATTTAACTTAACACTGCTTTTTTGGTGTTATACAAAAGTGTTAAAGGGCTTATACTAAGATTTATTGAAGCTTTGGCCATACGAAAATCGAAACCCCTTTTATGTATTCAAAAACAGTTTGTTCTCACCTTAAACCTACCATGGTAATATGTTTATTATCCACCGTGTTGAGTTTTACATTATTTACCTTATTATCTTTGCTTCCTTTTACCTCCCATTTGTCTAGTTGACCTTTTATTTTTATGTATAAATGTTCATAAAAAGTATGTATGATCCGGTTGATCGAAATGTATTCTGCTAATATATATGTCTTCGTCTTGTTTTCACACTAACCAAGTTTATCAAAGGGACTAATTGCTTTACAATCAGTTTACACTTACTAGTTGTAAATCTATTGAGTATCAAACTGCAAATAAACAACAAACAAAGAAATTTATACCAAGTTCCAATTGGAGTGGAAAGTGGTTATAAATTAATGAAAATAACTTGTAGATTTAGTTCTTTGTACGTAAAAGATGCCACACCTAAAACAAATTGCGTGTAGTTATTGTACTGTCTCTTTTTAAACTATACACCCATTTGTTTTTTGTTTGTACAAAGCCATAACTATTAAATGATTTATTCCAATTCAATCAAGCATTTCGTGACCTTTTATCCAACTTTATTTTCATGAGTTATTTCTAACCCTTTAAATTATATTGTCCACTTTCTATAAAGATATACGTGTATGTTTTGCCTGAATGTATCTATCTTCTTGTGATTAACACATTGTCTGTTTTTCTTCCATAAAGTGATTCATACCTAGGTTGAACAGACTGGTAAACACCTCTCCTATACGAATTTATTCCATTTTCGTTCATGATTTGTCTACTATGATGTACGCATGAAATATTTGCTGCAAATACAAAAAGAATTGATTGTTGCATATGCTGCACGAATAACATAGGAAATGACATCGTATCTAAACCATCTTATTATTTAAGTTCCTCATTTCAGATTTACCTGTTACTTCATGAAAGTATATCATATAAAATGCTGTTCTGCTTTAATCGTATTATTCACATGGAATTTGAGCATACTTTCTTTAAAGTGGAAGATAAACTGTCATTTTTGTCGTTTTTTTTATAAAGAATGAATGTACCAACTGTATATCGACAGTAAAACATGAATTTACTATCAAAATATTTAAGTGAGCGGCTTCAAATCTAGCTAGACTAATATCATCTTATATTAAACTCATTGTAATTTCATTCTTCTCTCTGCAGATTTTATATATTAAAGGTAGGCTTTAGTAATATTACTGAGTAAAGACTACTAAAATAGAAATGCAGTGGACGCTACTCAAAAGATTATTCGTATGTAGTATATAGCGAAACGTGGAATAAAAGTTGCAACAATTGTCGGACGTGGTGAAGAGTTTCGGTAGACCGAAAGCACGGCGTTCGCAAAACACTTGGAAATCAGATGAGAATGCAGTTCAAATGGCAGAACACACCGAAAGATACAAATGGGTGATTGAAGGCTACATTTATATGCATTATATAAATACTTTGTAACTCGATACTAATATAGTCTTTTCCTACATATCGCCTTCACATATCTGGTGTCACTACCAAGATCAAGATGAAAGTGCTGTGACTGGATCCATTTTGGAGACTGGGACATCGAGAACTATTTCAGGTAGTTCGGGTCGATAGCGAGGCTTGTCGGTTTGTGGTAACCCTGAGCTAAGGTGACGGTATTGGGGACATTACTATGTGGCAGGGTGGTTACATTCGGTGGGATTGCTCTTGTGGACGAGAAGGAATATCGGGGTGACCTCGTTCCTCGAATGCTGATGGCCCAGCTAGAGGCGTCACAGAAGTTTAGAGCCGTACATCTCACACCGGGATCAACACTAAATAACTTGCTAGTAACCACTTATTCTCCGCTAACCCAGTCAAATGCATGTATTATTGACTACCTCTATGAGTGAAGCAATAGGGATTGACGATGCCATATCCAAGGACAATATAACTCGCAACCTCGTACTTTCATTTTTAATGCTCTTGAAAAATGAGAAATTATTCCCTGCAAGCCAATTGACTGATGACACACTTCCTGGTTTGAACCATGAACAGTTACTTCTGTCTGGTTATTTTTTTGGTTCAGATAGATTGTAGTATTTCATGGATCGGAGATTTTCACTGCTAGATGATAGATAAATCAAGATTGTTTCAAACTTTAAGCTGTACAAAATAACACAGGATAATTTTACCTTAAAGTCAGATCCAGTGAAGAGATGACTCGGAAAATCCTGTTTGCAAATTATAAAACATCTTGTACATTATACTTCAACTAGCTAAATATTAATTCATCTGCCAGGCAGAGTCCAGAAAATATTCCACTCAGTAAAATCATAACGACTTTTTCCTGAGAATCCCCTGGAGACACCAATAATAAAAGATTATTTATTAAGAATGATTATCAATTTAAATATTATGAATTAAGTTACATAGGACTATTTTCTGAGAATGCACATTTTCATCTATGTGAATATGTCACAGATAGATTGGACAAAGTTGGTAGCTAACACCACAAAAAATACTCAGTTATGAAGTAGTCCGATATATCTAATATACAGAGCTGTTCGCCTTTGAGCTTGTCAACTTTTCATAACCTCTCTATGTCCACTAAAAGGCAACCTCGCAGTAAATGGTGGTTATCGATAGAGAACATCTAATCGCCAGTGCGAGGCACTGTAATAAGGAGTAAAAATCTACTTCTGAACCTTAAATTTTTCCGTTTTGGTCTCACCATTGTCTATCTGGATTAACTATCATGATATAACTTCATGGAATAGGCTCTCTAACCAATGTAGTATGACCGCGTCTTTATAATAGACAAGTCCAACCACTGAGCCATAGTAACAACTACAAAACGATAAAGTGAACTGAGTTTTAGAATACAAACAAATGAAGTGGAACAAAACATAAAGATTTATTTACAAGTAGTGAATTTAAACAGAACACTAGAGAGAACAAAAACAAGATAAAATTAAGTTTCGGCCAGCGTTTAACAAAATCGCATTCATTATACTGAGAAATATAGCTAGATACTAATATCAATAAAAATATATAAATTGAAGCTGTTATGTTCTTGTTACACTCGACTACTCGGAAGTTAGACAGAACAGTTTTTTTAAAAAAAGCATATAACGTAGAATATAATAAATAAATTGCTACACTTAATTTACAAAAACTGTTTCGTAAGGAAGTTCAAAATCAGAAAAGATGACTAATTTTCATTTTTATAAAATCAGAATATCCCACAATCCTTGAGATTGTTTTTAATTATTACATCAGTTACAGCATCAAATACAAACTGTATATTATTTGTGTCCGTTGCACATGTGAAATGGGAATAGATATCTTTAGGTCCACTACGAGTGTTTGAATTTTCAAAACATGATCGAATATACTCCGAAGCTTCTTCATAGTTATTCCCACCTAATCAAAAGTTTAAGAAGTAAATGAAAATCATAAAAGTAAACTAATCAGAAAAAGGTGTAAAACATCCTTTAATATGGGAAAAAAGTAATTCACCTATGATTAAACTTAAAAGCATTTTTTGAGATGATAAATTTGTGTGATCACAAGATAGTCGATGAAAAAGTTTTTACATAATTCTTTATAAAATGATTGTTTAACTGGATAGAAATTAATTGCAATCTTCATCAAAAATCAACGAAACAGTAGCTATTCATATACGACCCATAGCTCGTCAAATTTAGCCACTATAATTTCAACAAAACTAATTGACTCATTATTCAACTTATTACTACTTCATTGGAGAACTATTACATAGGCGAAGACAACGATAGCCAAATAAATGTTACTAAATCAAGACTAGCATACCTCCTAACTAAGCTAAGAGTTTAGTAGAACTGACTACCACAATCGTTACAGTCAAATCGAGTAGTGGTAAAACATCGCTTGATATTATTTGCGTAAAACAGCTTTTCACTTACAGTAGTCAAGAGATTAGACTTTAATAGATTTTCAGAATATTTTTGCTCAGATTTGTTTGAGAGGCTTTGAGAGAAGTGATAGAGAAATTGGACGGAGCTTGTAATGAGCAACGTAGGACCTGTAACAAATGTCCATCGGTTTAAGTTTCTCTACCAAGAAGTGTATAAACGGTCCTTTCACAGTGAACTGTATAGTTTGCTAGGATATGTATAGGTTTGACGCTCTGATAGCAATTAAATAAGTAGAAAATTGAAATTGTTTTGATAAATCTGATGAAAAGTTTCCCAACCTTGTATTACTCGTATAGGCTCAAGAACAATTTAGTGCCTGACAATAATGTGATTCATATTGGAGACAGTTTGTCTTCCGATCAATGTCCACTGGTTGCATCAAGTATAATCATTCAGCATCAGACAATGCATATTATTTGTTACATTTTTCTTCCCCTGTTTGGCTGAGTGATCAAACGTTAGGAGGGGACATAGTAGACTATCTGGAGACGAGATCATAACACTAATACTTAAAACATTTATAGTAACTACACATATCATCAAGACTTTTTATTTTGTTCGAATACATAAACACTGGTACAGGGGGGACACCGAATACATATACGCCAAACAATAACAATGAGGTTGTGAAGAGATGGAGAATGTAAAGTGCGTATAATAAAAAGAACAACAACGAATATAAATCAGTGTATGAGAGTGAAATAATAGTAATAATAATAATAATAATAATAATAATAATAATAATAATAATAAGAAGAAGAAGAAGAAGAAGAAGAAGAAGAAGAAGAAGAAGAAGAAGAAGAAAAAGAAGTAGCAGTTCAGTTAGCGAAAATACAACCAGAAAGAATTTTTTCAATTAAAGAAGTTACGTTTATTTTTCATGAAGAAAGTTAAAGAAAGTTGCAGTAGAATCACCACTGGCTTTTATTCTGAACCATGTCTGATAACGTCTCTAGCCACTGTGCTGAATCATTTCTAGGACCCCGGCCAGGGGGTCGTGAAGGACTAACAGAAGCCAGTTCTGTACATCTTTTTTTGTACCACGACAATATATCATACACTGAGCACCTCTCTGCGTTTTCCAACCGGTCCCATAATCAACAAATAATGCAGGAAGTGGAATTCTATGGGAAGACATATGTAGAACATGTCCAAGCCAGTGAAGTCGATCTTTCACGATAGTGACATCAATTGGATTATCGTCTCTGCGCCTAAACACACGATGCCGAACCTCTGCATTACTAACATGGTGTTGCCACTGGATGTCAGCAACCCTTCGGAGACAACGATGATTGAACACAGAGAGTCATCTAACATCCTCAACTCGGAGAGGCTAGGTTTCACCAACACCGAGCAAAACTGCTCTCACTGACGCCTTGTAGATCCGACCTTTTACAGTCAAACTAACATCACAAAGGTGCCAGAGATGACCCAGATCAGCATAAGCTGTTTTGGCTATCACTATACGTGAATTGACTTCAATCACTCGCTTACACAGCTACCCAGATACACAAACTTCTCGACTACTTCTATTTGCTCACTACCCATAGTGAGTGCATGTTCAGAAGTACTTTGCACTCGGCAGGTGCAAAGCACATACCATACCTTCAGACACTAATTGCCAACTGATTAAGTGTGGATAGCATGGCTTGCATATCATCGCACAGTAAGACAATATCATCCCCATAATCAAGGTCGAAAAGTCTTTCTCCAGGCAACAGATCCACACCACTAAAAACATCCATCAGAGCTGTTTCCAGGACGCCATCGATGGCGAAGTTGAAGAAGAATGGTGAGATTGGGCAACCCTGTCTAACCCTACTCTGCTTGAATGGAACAATGGAGAGAGGTGGTTGTATGACCTCATTCTGTCTGGGGCATTTGTATTATAGGGAATTCAAGCTATCAATAAACCCAATCACCCCTTCAATAAACAGTCTCAGAAAACAGTTTTGTCCAACGAATCGAAGGGAGCCCTGATGTCAAGGAACACTACGATTGTTAGCCCGTGATAAGTATGACAGTGTTCTAACAACTGGTGGAGGGTGAAGATATGGTCAACACATCCTCAACCAGAACGAAAACCACCCTGCTCCTCGAGAGTCAATCTTTTTCGAGTTTTGAACAATCTAAGGAGTATGACAGAAGCCGATAGTTTGGATGCAATCGAAAGTAAACTTATCCCCCTATAGTTAGTGCAGAAACAACGTGAACCCCTCTTAAAAATAAAAGCAACTATCGATACACTCCACGATATTGGAACACTCTCTAATTGTTAGACCGCTGTAAACAGCTCAGTCAGTTCCTGAACCAGAAAGTCGCCACTATCTTTAAAAAAGACCGGGAGTACGTCATTTGGGCCTAGTGATTTGTGGCGCATCAAGAATTGGAGTTCCCTGAGGACTTCCGCCTCGTCAGGTGGATCAGTCGTCACGAGCCATGGATGATAGGACAGTTTGATCGATATTGCCGAGGCAACAGACCAGTTGAACTGCTCCTCAAAAAACTTTGCCCATCGTCCAAGACATCGATAAATGTTAGTGATTGGTATCCCGTCATCTTCACAGATTGTTTCACTCACACCAGACTTCTTGCTGCCAGTGACTCGGATGAGTTAAAAGAGCTTCCGATAATTGCCAGATGCAGCCTCTGATCTCAACTCGTTAGCACGCTACGACCACTAGACTTCTCGGTCCTTACACAACAGTCTTCGTTCATGGTCAAACTCGCGGTCACTTGGAGTAGACCGTGGTTCAGTCTATTGTAAGGAGCCTATAGAAACCTAGTGTTTATAAGCAGGATGTTTTGAGAAGCCGCAAGCGACTTAACTTGCCAGTTTCGTGGCGTCATGTAACTGCAATGAACGCTTATACTTACTTTCCGATGGGTTGTTAGCTAGCCTTGATCCTAACTCGGTTTGATATTTAGTTGCAACATAAGCTGCAACCAATTTACTGGCATTGATCCGTTTAGGACGATGAATTTCTTGGCCACTGAAATGTAAGGTAAGATTAGCGCAAACGAGGGTATGATCAGAGTCCAGATAGGTACTCCAAAAGGAGCGGCAGTCTTGTACACAGCCACGCCAGCGGTATCCGATCACGATGTGATTAATCTGAGTCCAGGCTTGAGATGCAGAAGGGGGGCGCCAGGTGACACATCGGCGATGACTGTGCCAGTAGTTAGTGCTAGCCAGAAATAGGTTGTGATCTGCGCAGTTGTAGTAGACGGTCCCTGTTATCTGACCTGCGACCAACAAGCCCTCATCAGCCACCTAAACGATTCTCTTCTGTATGTAGATGGCTGACCTGAGCATTCAAGTCCCCAGCTAGTACTATATCTGTCGAGCGCATTTTCCGAAGAACCGTTAACTGGTGGTAAAACTCATCCTTGATCCAATCCGGGCTGTAATCTGTAGGTATAGGCGGAGATGAAGAAAAAACATCATTCTCACACCAATTTCTTCGCACTTTAATAGAGCCTTCTAATCTAACTGCACATAAATGACTGCTAGTGTGGATCCAATCGGTTAGTGCTGTCTCAACTCTAGCGCTCAGTGCGACACCAACTTCAGTAAAATCAGACAAGGATGCCACAGTGTCCCCGGATAAACGCACGTGAAACAAGCACTTCTAAGCGGCAGACTGAGGGCAAATTTTTAATAATTCACTAATCTTGAATACAGATCTGGGATGGACAACAGATATAAATGTTGAGTTTTTCTAAAGACAGCCAACATTGTCTGTTGTTTGCATTAGTGTGTGAACGTTGAAGGAGGCCAGTTTGGATGGTATACATGGTTTCAGAAAGACTGGTTCAATATCCGTAGTCGGTGGTGACATTCAACTTTCGACCAGTCAGTGACTTGAGATTGGTTAGATAAGACAGGGTTTAAACCATAAGCGAGCTGCTGCATAAGTTTGAAAGTAAAATACACAAAATGGGAATAAAAGGGAATATATAAATGATATAGTATAGAAGAAAAATAATAAATATAAATAAAAACGGATGTTATCAAATGATTGTGAATATGATTTTTCTGAATGAGCGTTGAAGCCAGAGTAATTTTTCCGGTAGTAATCATCATTCGATCAAGATTGGTAAACTTATGCTAAATATGGGTGCTTGAAAAAACAGAATGCTTGATACTGTCAGCGTAAAATGTCTGAAAGTTTTAAGAATCTGAATTTCGATATTAATGAAGAGTCAGTAAGCAAATGAATGTAGTAAGTTCGTTTACAGTAGTCTATGTTGCTTATTATCTAAAATGTTGAGAGCGTGTAGTGTTATGACCCCACAGGATATCGTAATAACATCACTGAGTTTAGTTTCCGATACACTTCACCAAAATCATCCACCTGAGCTACAAATCGTTTTCACCATCTCACACTTCAAACAAAATCAAACCTATTTATTGATCAGGGCTAATAAAGAAAATTCAACAATCTCCTGGATGTTAAGTCCAATCTCCTGTCTTACAGATAGAAATTATTAACAATTTACATATCTTTAGAAAGACTAACTGGTTCCTATTGTAAATAACTACTCTGTATCACTGAATAACAAAATGAAAACAAAACCTGGAGTAACAATAGTATTCATCAACAATCAAGCAACATTTAAAATAATAACCAGAGCGACGATTTCTCAAATCACCATGTTCTAATAATATTGTACTACACCTTTAGAATGTTTATTTATAAATTGAGAAACACAGTATAAACTAAGAGCTGGAAAAATTCAAAGCTTACCAGTGTACTCTGGGAAACATATGGTTAACGGGGACTTCATTATTTTGTTTTCAAAAATATCTCGCTTGTTTAAAAATAAAATGATACTTGTTTCTGTAAACCACTGGTTATTACATATTGAACTAAACAATGTCATAGATTCCATCATCCTATTCTGTAACAAAAACAAAGAGCATCAAAACCAAAAGAGAGTTGTGTCTATTAGAAGCCAAACTATGATGAGATGTGCACCGACCAATTATAGAGTACAAACAAATTAGACATGATACTCATATGTCTGTTGAACATAGTCTTCACTAATATTTGTCTGAAAATCGTTTGTTGGTTATTGGCCATCTGAAAGTGACTGCTCAAGAGTGATATGCCTGGATGTAGAGCACGATCATGATTAAAATTTATCAAGTGCCTATAAAGCCTACCACATAACTTTGAAATAAAGCATTGGTTGAGCATAAGGATTGGACAAAGAAATATTCTACGTAAATTAAGTGTTGATGATGCTTAGAACGGTGATGAATATTCAAAGAACAGAACTAAGAGCATCCACCTGACCTAAAATTGTTTTCTCTCAGCCATAAAATATAAAAACTAAATCAACTTAAATGACTAAAACCACCTGCTAAACTACTGTTACATCGAAAATGCATCGTAAAACCCTACAACATAGGGTGTCAACTTACGTAAACACACACTGTGGCCACCCAAATAGTCGAAAAGCAGAAAATTCTAAAATTGGCAAGGACATGAATAATGGTAGAAAATAAACTGGCGTAATGGAATTTCCATACATCGAAGAGTCAATGGTGTATCTATGCCATCAAATTTTCAGCTATTCAATGTAGTAGTCAATAATCTTTATGACTGATTTTGTCAGATACCGCTGAAATTACTAACCGCCTCAGATGGAACTTCTGAGTAGGTTTACTCAGTTAAAATGAATTGGTATTACTAAGCTGTAGTATCTGGCGTAGTTGTATGACTGGATTAAATAGAGTGATGTATTCGGTTTCCTGACTAACTAAAGTTGTCTAGGTTGCATTAGAACCAATGGGCTCCAAAACTTTAGCTTTTTATGTGTAACGAAATTTTAATAAAATAATTACCATTTCTTGATCTTCAGCAAGATTTAGATCGTATTCACTCATAGCAACCACAAATATAATTGCGGTGACGCCTTCGAAACAGTGAATCCATTTTTTTCGTTCTGAACGCTGTCCCCCAACATCAAACATCCTAGGGTAATAATTTAGATAGCCATTTTCCTTGCCTGATGCTTAATCCTTTAAAAGAGAAGTGGGTTTCTACAATTCCACCCGTTCTTACTCTAGTCCGAAGGACATCCTGTTGTGTTGGGATATAACAAGGACTTGATAACCTATCCAATGAGTCAAGGAAGCTAAAACACAATTTAGACTTGGGAAGTATCTCACTATGATGCAGAATCATTCAGTTGAAATTCTCGAGACCTATTAACAGCTGTTTGAACACCTGGGTCGTACCAGAGCCTCTTTAGCGCACTAAATACTTCGTCGGGTAGCACGTCGACATCTGTCCGTGGAAGGTTGAGGACCACAGCAATATCATTCTGGATTTAAGTAACTTATAACATGAAAAATACCATTGCGTTCGGATATGCACAACATATCTGCAGTTGTTCCATAGCTCTCAGTATGGCTACCATGCTCTGTATGGTGTTGCTGAATACGACCGGTCTGTACGTTTTGCATTCTTCTTCAGTATAACCAGACATATGAATAATCCTGCAAATAAATATTACAGTAACATACTTCATTTGTTTAACTATTGTGCTTTTTCCCGACTCTCCGGCACCAAGGAGCAACAGTTTGGCCTCTTTAAATGAAGCCTCACCATCAGCCTTTAGTTTTCTGTCAATGTCTTTGGATCGAGCTATAGCAGCTAGTTTTTCTTTGCTCACAATACATCCCATATCTACAACTTTCGAAACAAGAGCGGATAATAGCTAGTATCAAATTACCGCCTTAAAGTGAATGAAACTTGGCTCACACAAAATATGCAGTACATTTACCACAGAATTTCGTGCAATCTTAAACCTGACCCATATTAAGCAAACAAGTGTTATTCTATATGACAAATCGAAGTAAACTATTGGAATAAACGTTATTACAAGTACGGAACTATTAAATAAATAAAACTCTAAACTTTACTAAACAGAAATACAGAACTGGTTTTCTCCATAAGCTGATTCTGAGTGGTAAAAGAGCGTTTTCGGTCACGGCGATGCATGATCCTTGATTTATTTATTAATAACTAAGAATACAATGAGTAACCTCGTAGTAACACATGGAGTATATTTCTCTGGACCTAAGAAACTAGTACAAACATTGAGTTTGCTCAGAATAGATCCTACAAGGGATCACACCACTACCTCTTTTGATAATGAACTTTACAGCTTGTATATCCTAAAGCTAACCAATTATCAGAATGAGCTTTGCGTACTAAGGACTGAAGGCATAAAGCCTATGTTATTCATCTTCTAATATGCTTCTGTGAGCGTCTAATATTCTCTCGAATGAGTCAGTTGAAGGAGCGGACACAACTGTTCCGGATACTAGGTTCTAAAGGGTTTTAAACCCTTTTGCCTCAACCTCCCGGCATTGGGCTGTGGTCTGAAGACCGTGTTTCTTCTTCTTTGGGGATGTCCAGGTCGAGATACCTGATTGTACAGATGTCGGAAATGAGCGCATGCCTTTTCTACGGATGCTCCTTAATCAATCATCCAGTTTTCATCCAAGACCGCACAGATGATCGCCTTCATGTTTGCCTCCTATATGTTAAGGTGGGTCTACGAAGCTGTTTGACAGACCAATGCAGTAGGATGACTGCATGATCATTTCTCCCTAGAGGTGGGAGGAGAGCCACTTGACTGACATTATCATCCTGTGTTATGACTTAGTCCAAAAGAGACAAGGGCTTACTATAGAGTTTTCTGGTCTCTTGGTAATCGACCCTGGGTTAAGGATAGATTAAAACGTGCTTAAAAGGTTCGCAACGAAGTTAGCTAGTTCCTTTAGTAACCTAGGATTCACTTCATCGGGTCCCGTGGACTTGCCTATGTCAAACTTATTTAGCAGACCAAAGACATCGAGTTCTTTAGTAGTCACATTGTCCACTGGGTGCGTGATGGGAATTTTACGGACTGACAATAAGGGTTTTTCTACGGTATATATATTGCTAGAGTAGTTTTAGAATACTTGAGCTTTGCCAAAGTCGTCCTTCACTTATGATGAAGCATTACTGTCGCCCTGAGACATTTCCTTTCCTTTTTCTACACGAATACAAGCGTTTAAGACATTCTGTGAATTCAGTGACAATTTTTATTTTCGTACCGCCTTCTAGACTTACGGAGGGTTGAAGCACATGTTTTCCGAGCTTTTCGATACTGAGATTTTTCTTCACCAATCCCCAGTAAACTAAACCTATCCCACATATTTCTCCTCTTACAGAGAAGGTTACTAACCTACCTACTGAACCACGGTGGAGATTTTCTCGACCCCCTTGGTGTATTCCAAAAGATGTGGGGTTCGAAATACGTCCCAAGCTGTTTCGATTGAGGACTCTGGCTCTATTTTCCAATCTACTGATAATGCTGAGAGTAAAATATACTGTGTATTTGCTTTCCAGATGTTAGGTCTGGGTTAAGCTGACGCGTGCTCGGTCTTGACAACCACATGGGGATCAAAGGTGAGAACTGCATGATCAATTTTACTTAGGGGTGGCATGTAATTGAGGTCCAAGGCGTCATCCTGATAATGGGTCAACAGAAAGTCTAGTCAGGTTGATTTAGAGTCGGGGTCGCACCTAGTCGCTTCTTTCACATGTTGCACTAGTACACATGTGACAATCACATTTACTAGTTTCTACTCGAAGGAATTTTCTGACGGGTCGGTTCTCATATTTTTCCAGTCTATCATGAGTGTATTAAAGTCTATTAGGATTAGACATCGACTACTTTGTGACCAAGCATTGAAGCTGTCTAGTAAGACCTCGTTCACCTCACAGGTTGGACTGGGGTAAACCAAACCAATCAGCGGCTATTGTCCCTCGCATTCCAGGCAGTAAATAACTAATTCACATGTCCCACTCCCATGGAGTACACCGCCCGATAATGGTGAACAGGATAGTATTCCTAGAGAGCTACTCACTCTCCTTTATTTTTCTGGATTCTGTCGACTCTTACCAGAGTAAAACCTTCGAAATAATATTCCGCACTATTGATAGGCTGCGTCAGCCACGTTTTTGCGACCGCGGTTATATCTCGCCTGGTAGAGTCAATCTGTACATGTAGTTCTGACTGATCCGAAGCTTATTTAAATGGTTTAGTTCTGCATCCATGGTGGCTCCGGAATCATTCTTTGTCGAAACTTTACAAACCGAAAATTTAGAATTTTTTGTCCTTTTCGCCAGCATGTAGCCCAAGTTTTAGTTCTTTTCAGGCTTCTCATCGTTTCACATAATCTGCGAGCGGCAGGTCCTTACGGACGAAAGTTCCTGACCCCTTCAGTTGATGTCCATTATGTTACATTAAATCCCGTTTATTAGGAGATTTAATTACTATTTTAAGTAGCCTGATTTGATTTTGTTCCAAGTTTGTTTGGCTATCTAGTCTATAAACCTATAGCAAGAAGACTCCACAGATATCCCAAGGCATTAGCTAATTTAGTACCTGTTTTATAGACCCAATGTCATGCTCAAAACGAGTTTTAGGTTCTGGGCTTTTAACCTCCTTGATTCTATGCAAGGTACACGACCTGTCACCGAGATCACTCCTTAATTTCCTGTCTACATTTTATGGGATTGGATTTTATTTAATAGCGTCATGCCGTTTCTTGTTCTCGACCTGTACACATTCATCAACTTGTAATGTGACGTCGAGTCGTGGTTGACTATGATCACCAGTACACGAAGACTATGTACCAGTTAAGCGATAAGATACCCCGTAAGCAAAATATCAGAAGGCAGTTGATGGCTGTAGTCGCGATGTATTCGTTGGCGATCTCGTGGTATCAAAAAAATACCGAACTCGTGCAAGGTCTTTTACGTAGAACGGTACCCGGAGAAACGTACTGCATTTGTCGCTCGAGTTAGCGTACCACACCAGAATGGTTTGTATCCAGGATCTGAGGATTGCGTTCGTAGTGGTGTGGGGCAGAAAACGCTGCAGACGTAAGAGGAAACCACGTTGAACCAAGGACCCAGAAGCGACCATAACAACCAGGTTCGAGACCAAAAGTATGCCAGACATATTCGGAACCAGAATATCAACCGAGTGCGTTGACAAGAGCGTGGGTGATCAGGCCAGCTTTCCCCAAAATTGACTGAAGTCGACGGTACCAAATGGGCGATGGTCGGAGGCGTGGGTTCAGGATACAAAAATCAAAGAGAAAGAGAAAAGGTGTAGCATGTATGTAGTATACGGGTAGAGTCCTATACCGTTTTGTTGTTGATTGTGCGGTCACTCGCGATAGCGTACGGATACGCGTACTCGGCGACCGGACGTGAGACGGTGGTCTCGTTCGTACTTCGTGAGCCTGCAATCTCATCCGAAGGGCAGCGTGGTCTGCTGATCTGGAGGTGAGACTGAAGTTTCGTCCGTAGATGATGCAGAAGACACGTGCTGTTGACCGTGACGTCAGAATGAGGTCTCTGATGTATCTAGCGTGGGATATGAATTAGATGTAGGGATCCCGCTAGCAGGTTCGATGGGTCTAACATTGGGTCTCAAGTTATCAAGTAGGGCGCTGTCATTGACGTGCGCTGGTTTGAGACGATCAATGCTGACGATCTCGACGCGGCCATGTCGATCAACCTTGAAGGTCTTTTCGTTACGAGCGATCACGCGAAAAGGACCTTCGTAAGGCTGTTGCAAAAGTTTGCGTACCGAATCTACTCGTATGAAAACATGTGAACAGGCAGATAACTCTCGAGGGAGAGCGACCTGTCAAGTTGTATTCGAGTTGACACCGGAGGCAGTGTTCGCATAGATTCAGACAGTCGGTGGACGTAATTTGATCTACCGAAATCGCTGCTGCTCCGTGGTGTGAGGAATTCCCTAGGCAGACGCAATGTCGTACCACATACAACCTCAGCAGCGGAACATTGAACATCTGCCTTTAAGCTCGTTCTGATACCTGAGAGGACGAGCAGTAAAATTTCGTACCAATTGTCGTTTCCGTGTGCTCGAAGAGCACTTTCAAGTTGGCGATGAAACTGTTCAACTAAGTTATTTGATGCTGGGTGGCAGGCGGTAGTGCGCATGAGTTCCATACCAAGCAGCCGGGTCAGTGAGGAGAATAGTAAATTGGGGGAAATTTCTCGGATAAAGCGTGGAATATATCATCACGCGAATGAAAGACGCCTAAGATTCGATACGCGTACATCGGAGTCTATTATATTATTACTATTCTCATCTTAATCCGTCATTTCAAGTTGTTGCCAGTTCATTATATATTGAAAAATTTTAATACGAAAATGTGCAACAGACGTGGATAGATAAGTAATAGACTCAACGCGATTGGCTTCTTTGGAAGATTAGACCGTGATTGAAAGTGCTCGTAGTTTTGGGTTCACCAGCTGTAGTGTGGCTTTGAGTCGCAGTTGACTATGATTACCACTACAAGAAAGTTGTGTACCAGATATTAGAGGGCGATTGGATGTTCTAGCTGTAAGATCCAAACTAAGGTTTGTATTGAAGAATAGCTGTTTAGGTGGGTTAGATACGCGCCCTTGCCCGATTTAAGCCAAAACAAAGTAATTGGGTAAAGTGACGATTCTAATATTCATCATAAAGTTAAATGTACATCGTTACCTAAACAAATATGGCCACCTAGTTGTCCAACCAATAATTGTTCAACTACTCGAATCTAAGTCACAACAAATAGGGAAGTTGATAAAAGATGCTAGAAGATTACCAATCACAATAAATAAATGTTGTTCTATCCTGTGTGGATAGACCACGC